TGTGTGACGCGCTGTATTTGAACGCGTGGCTTGGCGAGTGTGGGAGTCTGGTGTGTGTGTGTGCGCGCACGGGAAGCGCGATATCGCTGCACGAACACTATCCCACCGCGCGCTGTGATCGGATTAGCAAGCATGTGAAGGGGGTGAGACATCGCCACCACGCCTGTCGGCTCGTGAACCCGTATAACACGGTGAAAATAAAACCATAACAAACACGCCAGCCACCCCTTACGACACACTGCTCCAACACGTTCCCTCCGATGTTGTAATTAATACTGCCTTATCATGAAATCCAGACTGGATTTGGCTTCACACTGGAGCTGATCCAAATCCAAAAAGAAGATGCGATAGAAGCCAGCAGCTCGCAATCGGAAGGTTGAAATCCTGATTGGGGGTTGACTTGCACCATCATCCCTCCAGGATCGATAACATAAATACCACTTTGTGGGCAAGGCAACAGTGGTTGTAATATGGATAGACTGGTCCCATCATGGCAATGTGAAATTTCTTCCGCTTTCTCTGGGCAGTAACAAGGAGCTTAGCATCACCGCAATGCTTTTTTTTTAGCAGAACACTGACTGTTTTTCGGCATGACTGAATATGCATGCTGTAGTGAGTTAATGTTTTAAGGTAAGGGTTTGTAAACGGGCAGCCAGTAAAGGTTTTTGGAGTGGCTTGTCCAGGATATGAGAATCAGATTAGTGAAATTAAACCGAGATAAACGTGTGAAATAAGAGCTAGAGATGAGAGAAATATATATATAGACACAGACGGTGAGATGAACTTGAGATAAACTTGAGATAGAAATTAGTGATACATTTTTTGGGAAACTGAGATCTGATGGCAAGGTGTGCATAGTGGTCGCATGTGTAAACTTCAACGTCATATAAAAAAATATTTGTATTATACCAGATAAGATATATATCTCCTTTTCATAAGTAACCTGGCCAGAAATGATAGCTCAACGAAGTAGCTTATGTGGACATTTCTATCAGGCAAATACTCCTAAATGCATGCTTTTAAATGTAGATAGCAACAGCAGAGGACCTGGAATAAGTATAACCCGTAAAAACAAAGTTTTTCACTATAAATCCTTTATATGCGTGGCGGCTAGAGTCCTCTCGTCCTCTGGCTTGAGATGGCTGCCACCTATGGGTCAGATGATTGTCTGCCAGTATTAAGCATTTGATAATTAAATATTTAATTTGTTTTCCCTAAACATTGTAAAATTTTGGAAAAAAATTTCACGAACATTAATTGTCTCGCACAACGAGTCTGTGTGCAAAATGTCAGCTCGATTGGATCATGGGAAGTGGGTTAAAAAACGACCGAAAGATTTGCACGGTCGTAAGCAAGCACGCAAGCAAGCAAGCAAACTTAATATAAAGGATTTAAAAAATCCACGTGGCCATGGGGAAAACATGCAAACTCAAAATTTACAGACATCAAGGTTGGGATCGAACCTATGATCATCTGGATACCAAGCGAAGTAGTTAATATCTCCCCACCATGGCACGTCATAACGTCTGTAAGTGTGACACTTTGAATTGAAGGCGTCGTCTGACATGACACATCACATGGCCCACTGGCAGACACTAGGTTTTATTATGTGACCCTGCAAAATATAGAGTTGAAGAACCCTGCTTTAGGCAATGGCCATTGTCCATAGTTCAGAGCTGAAAGTGAGGGCAGCCAAAATATTTCAATTGACTTCATCTTGTCGCCGGAGGCAGCGTTTAAACAATGCCATAACTGTGCCAAGCTTGTCATGCATTGAACCCGGCCGACATGAGTTCATCAGATCATTGATCACAGCAGCCGTGGCGGGTGATATCTGAAGCAGTGCTAGAGGCGGGGCCCTCTGCTTTACCATCCCGCACTGACTCGCGTGGTGAAATGCGGTCAAACAACCACCGTGACTGGCAAGATGTGGGGAGAACTTCATCAAGCAGTGGCTGGACACGGCGTCAAAATTATTGTTGTAGCCTTAAACGGTGGGAAATGTGTTGATCGTTGAGATTTGGAGCCATTCGGATAGTGCGTTTGTAATACACCTTACTCACCAACGTCAATTCATTTCTAGAAAATTAAGTATGTGTGATGATTCACACGTCCGCTCTCCATGTGCCGAACAGTTATATTAATTGTATGGCTTGTCACCAGCTGGGTTCGCGATCCAATTGGAGAGTCGATCAATTTTCTCTCTAGTTTTTACCCTCGCGTTTGTATTGTTTCTTTTTTTGCTGTCTCGTTTGTATGGCTTTGTTTGCTTATTTCAACTCGATGCAACATGAGCATATCGTTTGCATATAATTTGCTAATAACGTGAATCATTTATTTTCACAAGCTCTGTTGCAATGCGTGCGTGCTGGATGTTTTCCAGCGTCTCTTGACAATCGTTGAATTTGGAGATATTTTTTTACTTTATCTCGTACACAGTTATCGTAGATAACATAAAAGCACAGTCCTTTGTCAATCCACTGCTAGATTAAAGCATTCCCAATGCTTGCAGACCTGGAGGTGGTGTTGAAAGTGCAGTGCCCTAATCATAATAAATATCAGGCAGAATACCTCACCAGAAAGGATGATTGCCAATGTACACAAGTTGTGATGGATTGGCGGTCGGGGCGGGGGTGGTACATGATGAGGCCGTGGAGATGGAGGAAAGATATCTTCTGCCCTCGTGCGTGGGAGCTGGAGTTGGGTTTGTAGCATCGCAGGTCCATGACAGTTGGTAACGGCTTGAAGGGGGCCTTCATTCGGCGGTATATAGATCTTTCGATTTAAAGCTTTCGTGACTGCAGGGATTCATCTTCTTGGTTCTTTCGGTAAAGTCACGTAGAAGGGAAGTAATAAAATAATAAAAATAATAAATAATTCTCACGACGTTTCGGCCACAACGCAAGCAGCCGTCCTCAGGTGAAGACCAGGTCTGTTGGGGAGACAGCGTCTGAATGAAACACCACCACACATTTCATTCAGACGCTGTCTCCCCGACAGACCTGGTCTTCACCTGAGGACGGCTGCTTGCGTTGTGGCCGAAACGTCGTGAGAATTATTTATTATTTTTATTATTTTATTACTTCCCTTCTACGTGACTTTACCGAAAGAACCAAGAAGAAGGTATATAGATCGTGGATGATGATGACGTAAGGGAAATAATGGCCTCAGGGTGTTACGTTCAAGACAATAACATTCGTACACCCTTGTGGGAGGTCAACAGTGGACGTCTTTTGGAGGGACTGGTCCCCACCAAACGAAATATGAAATTTGCCCCTGGCATTAATGACATCAGCGGGCACACTGTGCAGAATGCGTGCGTGCGTTAATCGGCAGAGTGAACTTATCTTCGTGTCGCGGTAAACATTTAATGCAGAGAAAATGTATTTTACTGACGCAGAGGTGTGATGAATCATCATCACATGCTGGAGACCCTTGGGTTGTGATCGCTGAAAATCTTGTGACCGCTTTATATCGAGCAGGCGGGATGAGTCACCTGTGAGTTTAATTTTATCCGCCGTGAACTTTTCGCCAAACAGCTTCGTCGAGATAATTTATTTTTTAAGTGCTGGTGTGGCAGTACCCGGGGGATTGGTGTGGGCAGTTGGACTTATTTGAGAGTTGTGTGTTGTGAATGGCATTGTGGGTAAAGGAATAAGGTACAGGTGCAGCTATGAAATTATTCTCTGGTGTTACAGCTGGCAGAAGGGCCTCCACTAGAGGGAGTGCTAATGTAGGGCCCTTCTCGAGAGTACAGGTAGTTCCCCGAGTTACGACTGTTCGACTTACGATATTTCGATCTTACGATGGCGATAGCGATACGACAAAATGCATGTTAAAAGTTTTTTATAGCAGATAGGATTGTTTCCTGAAAAAAACTTTCTATGCAATTGCAGTTCATATAGGTAGGATAAGAATTTACCTTGTTTTTTTGTTACTTGACATTTTACTGTGCAATACAGTATTGGAATTAATTAATAAATACATACAGTATATAGTGTATACAGTACGGTACTGTAAATTGCTCTGTTTTGCTAAATTATCACCATTCTTTAAGACTCCTGGGTAGGCTAGGCCATCTTCGACTTACGATATTTTCGACTTACGATGGGGTCGTCGTAACGCATCTCCATCGTAAGTAGGAGGACTACCTGTACTTTTACCTTCTCTGTGCCAGCCAGACATTTTGTAAAAGCGATCGGAGTACCCACACTTTATCCCACCACATGTGACCGTGCAATCGAATAACTGTGGTCAACCCAATTATACTGCTCGGTTGACAGGCGTGGGGTGGGAATTTTATCAACTTGTTGCGTCGCCATTGTGTAGCTGAGCTAATGAAGTGATGTCTGTCCTCTTGGTTCTTTCGGTAAAGTCACGTAGTTAGAAATAAAATAAAACAATTCTAGATTTGAAGCTTTCGATTGTGCTTTCGCTACGTGTGTCAGACACACTTAAGCGTTTGCGCTTTCGCTACGTTGTCCCCACCTGAAGAAGGACGCTTGTGTTGCGCCCGAAACGTCGTGATTTAATTTAGTTTTCATTGATTTATTTTTTATCTACGTGACTTTACCGAAAAAACCAAAGAGTCAAAATAAAACAAATCACGACGTTTCGATCGCAACACAAGCGATCGTCATGTATTGCGATCGAAACGTCGTGATTTGTTTTATTTTATTTTATTTCTCACTACGTGACTTTACCGAAAGAACCAAGAGTATGGATTCCTGCAGTCACGAAAGCTTCAAATCAAGATTGATGTCTGCAGCCCATGGCATTGTGGGTAGCCAAGCTCATTCAGTGGTGTAGTCGATAATGGCATTGTGGGTAACCGAGCCAGATGAGTGTGGCTAGGTGATGCTGGGTGGTGTGAAGATCACTGTTGGTCGCGTTCCTATATAAATGTGGGCAACGATGTCTATTGAGTAACGCCTCGATGTGTTAGGTGTGCGAAGCGTGAGCGAGTGTAATGCATGCGCGTGTACATGTCTGCACGACAGCACCAAGTGGACCGAGGAAGAGATGAGGTTGCTGCACTCTGCCGTGAAGAGGTTTGGGGAGGACCTCAACAACATCAGCAGAATAATCAAGGACAGGACTGTGTAAGTGTGAGCGAGGGGGTGGGGGGGGGCGTGGCGTTTACAGCGTTCGAGACAGGAAGAGTCCGCTTTGAGTCCGTCTGCACAGGGAGTTCCTGCGGGGCTGTTGATTGGATCTTCACGCTGAACAAAGAACGCGCAAGCGAACCTCGAATCCACGTTTATCTGACACATTCAGTTTTGTATTTGTGTTGAACTTCTTTCGCACCGTATGTAGCCAACCGTGCTCATCGGACGTGCGGGGGAGGGACAGCAAACTCTAAGCACAAAAAGCCGATCTGAAGAAGTTAATTTTGATACATTTCTATTCATCCGGAATAGCATTTCACTCTCAAGTCCACTGGTTAGGGGAGGGTACTACCATACTCTTAGGTTCTTTCGGTAAAGTCACATAGGAAAAATAATAATAATAAATGAAAATAGCATATTTTCCCCCATTTATTATTATTTTATTAATAACATTTAATCATTTGTTATTTTATTATTATTTTATTATTATTTTATTAATAACATTTAATCATTTGTTATTTTATTATTATTTTATTATTATTTTACCTACGTGACTTTACTGAAAGAACCTAATAGTATGAATCCTTGCAGTCACGAAAGCTTCAAATCTAGAGGGTACTACCATTTCCCATGGTCCTATGGTCCTGTGATGCAGCACCAATCCACCCAGCAGCGAAGTCATCGCTCCAGCTCTGCAGTGGAGCACCCTCTTGGTGGGGGGGGGGGGTGTGGGAGGAGGCGCATTAATTCTCTCCTTTGACTGCCACTTAGTCACTTAGTTGTTCTTCTCACAGGGCCATCGTCCACTTACACTTTGGTGGAAGGAATGACGACCGGCGGTCGAGACTAACGACGGGAGTGGCAGCGAAAGGGAGGAACGCGCTTGCGAGGCCATCCACAAAGTTAGATGGGGCGGTGAAATCAGCTCGGGCGCTCGATGGATTTGCTATTTTGGCAGGCCGTAAGAGTTGGCGACTGCTTGTGGAGGTCTTCCAGCAGCGGAGAGATCATGACGGATTCTACTGATGAGCCACTTGACCCCATCAAGTGGGCTTCTTTAAAAAAACAAAATACTCTATGCAAAACTTCCGCTGACCTCTTAATGCTGGAGACTGAAAGGGGCCGGGTTTCTATCACCTTGGTATTTTCATGGGACTGCGTCATTTATTTTTTATACGCAAGACAATAAATACTTTGTGGACAACATTGACCACAATTTGTTTAAGTTATTATACGTAGATGTGTTTACATTCAATACTCGGTCAATATTTCCATGGGCTTTCAGTCTGGGGGAACTGTGACATCGTATTTGCATGTCTGTAAATATGCACGAATCTATGCCCAGTTGCTGAGCATTCACCAGTGGATTGGCAAAACCTGTGCATTTTTATGTATTCTAGATTTGAAGCTTTCGTGACTGCAAGGATTCATATTCTTAGGTTTTTTCGGTAAAGTCACGTAGGTAAAAAATTTAAATTTAAATTCATAAAAGTAAAATTCTTACTTGATACAGCAATCGTGCTGTGACGGTTCCACCTGAAGACGGAAGCTTGTGTTGCCTCCGAAACGTCGTGATTTTTATTTTATTTTTATTTTACTTTCATTAATTTTAATATACAATTTTTACCTACGTGACTTTACCGAAAAAAACCTAAGAACATGTTTACGTAATTGTACTAATATATACAGTGTTATTCGTCCATTTATTGCAGTACGACGAGTGAAATTGTGTGTTTGTACTTGGTTTTGTGAACAACTCGATCATATTGTGTACAGATTTAAGATCGGCAGGTCGCGTGCGGTGGAGTAAACTGTGGGTTCTCTCACCACTTCCACGACATTTGGATATCGCGGAAGAGTAGGCCAAAATACCTACCTAGAGGGGCACTCTTTAGTGGAAGCCCATACATCAGCAGTGGTGTGAGCAGGTCATTGCAGCGCTGCACCTCTACATTTTACAACACATTGTTGCCCACAATGTTTAGCACGGCGGATACTCACAATACTTGGCGTTAGCGGTTGCCCACTGCCGTTTTCCACCATGCTGTCTGCGAGATGGGATTGCGAATTCATAATGTCGACGTTTTCAATATTTGTTACTGAGATGCACGGGTGGCTACGTACGATGCGAAAGACATACATACATTGTGCTGATAATCTTTGTGAATGTGTGCATATGGGATGATTGTTTATAAACACTTTTTAGCGATGCGACTAATGCTCCTCGAAGTGGCAGAGTGGGTGAGAAAGTTCTGCTTTCTACTGTGTGCTTACTCAGGGGAACTTAAAGACATCTCAGGATTGCTCTGATATCCGATTCAGTGGGCTGTTGCGCTGCTGTGCGAGGGATTCAATTTAATGCTTCATCTCATGTCGGGATTGAGGAGATCAAATATGAGCAATGCATGGCATATATCTTGGCGTGTGTGTGCATGCAGTCCATGAAACATTTTCCAAAATGCTCAACGTATACGACAATATGGAGCAAATAGGGGTTATGTCGGTGTCAAGTCGGGCTGTGTTAACGCGGAGACGAATATTGCCCGGGGAATGTATCGTAACGCTGGGAAATATACTCAAGTCGGGGCAACGCTGTGGTCAAGATGTCACGGGCGTGGCTGTTTGTGCTTTCGAAGGTTGCCGTTTGAAGTCCACGCTCATGGCCGTGGCAGCCGAATGTACGTTTAGGTCCAAGCATGTGTCTTTAAGCTTTCCAAACCCAAGGCGCTTGCCATTGTGAGTTCACCGCTGGATGGATTCCTCGCCACGACGTGTCGGTCGGAGGTGTTTGCATGTGGGGCATTTATCATAATTAATTATCAGCCACGAAGCCTCGCTGTCTCCCATGCATCGGTCCATCCGCCGCCTCCTTTCACGAGCGGACCTCTTCTTTGCCCTCTCTCCGCGGTGGACTTCCTCTCGGGCACGTTCCCTCCTTCATTGTTGGTCTCAACCGTCGGCCACCGTCGCGTCTACCGGCACGTCCCGCCTCCAAGCCCAGTCAATATGTCTCCGACTCGTCTTTGCACTGTGATGCGTGTGTTCCTCTTCCTTTGCCTTGGTGTAATTCCAAGTATGCACGTCTCTCTTCGCACTCAATTTAGTTATTTTAATTTTTTTGTCGATGCTCCCGTGGAGTGATACAGGTCCTCAAATTAAGCGACTTATTTCTGTCCTCTAGAAAATGATGCCTTTTTCTGAGCTGGCTGGTTAGCTCGGAGGTTATAGCGCTGAACTGGCATTCTTTGAGGTCCTTGGTTCAAATACAGGCCTGCGATTGATCTTAGTTCTCAAGTCAAGTGAGTTGATGGTCCCTTCAAGCATTGCTCACACGTGGCAGGGTGGGTGGGTGGGTAAGTGCTTCCCCCCCACTGACTGTGTGGACTCGAGGTCACTTGCCAGGGATCTCAAAAGGAGTTCTGCGATCTCTGCTTTGGCGAGCCGCTCTCTTAACACGAAGGGATGTACTCCTCTGCGAGAGATCCAAATGGATTAATCATCACATAACACCAAGAGCAAAATCGGGATTCATTGAGTGGGGCAGAGGGTGAAGATAAAACAAAACAACATTTCACGTCCTCTTTGTTTAAGTCCCATTTAGCCCCAGGGCCTTCTGAAGACGATTCCTAACCCCTCTGTGACCCCCCCCCCCCCCCCCCGCGACCCCCCCCTGCGACAGGGCCCAGATTAAGTCAACGCTCAAGCGCAAGTCCTACGAGGAGACGGGGTTGCCCCTTCCCGCCGAGTCGCCCAAGAAGTCGCCCAAGAAGGCGGCCGGGGGCACCGGCTCTGTGGCGTCAGCCGCGGGGAGCGCCACAGGCTCCAGTGCACTCAGCGCCGCACACCGGCTCGCCGAGGCCGCGGGAATCAAGAAACAGAAAACCTCATCTGGTGAGCAGTTGTGGCAGTGTGGGGGGCGAAGGGTGGCAGCGTGGGACCAGGATGGTGGGGTGGGGGGTGATTCTGGTGGCGTGGGCAGTTTGCGTGCTGCGCTATGAACCCGGCTCGCGGTCAACACCGGTGCCGATTATCTGGGTCTCCCCTAGGTCCACTCGGCCTCAAATGATTAGCACATGTGGTGTGTGACTTTCCAAGCCACCCATCCCTGCGAGTCGGCCACCTGGCAACACGCACAACGCTTGCAACACGCGTCGCTATTAATATTGAGCGAGCAACTCTCATTAACAATGATAGGGGTGTGCTTGTGGTCCAGCCTCTCCTGTACTGCCGTGGTATTTAATAACATTGCTTTGGCGTCAGTCATTGCTTCGCAATAAGGTGGGGTGAACTGGACTGACCCGATGGGCGGCGTGCGAACTGTAAAGTATTCCTCGTGTGAATCTAGCTGTGGGTGGGGGGGGTGAGGGGGGGGAGGTGGTCACTGCTGCTGTTGCTGGTGTTTTTGTAATAAAGTTTCCTTGAAATCTTCCTGTGCGAGTCGGGGCTGCTAAGCCCTTGCGGCAGAATCGCTCCACGGCAAAACCGGTCCCGCGCCCTCCTGCCCAAGAGAAGCTTCGCCCGGCCCCATATCCTCGTGCTCGCGCTGGAAACTTAAAAAATAAACCACGCTAATGACCGAAGTTTATTAGCGATTGGTTTTTGTTTTAGTGTTTCGATTATTATTAGCATCGTCGTCGTGAGCCAATAACCAAATCTCGCAGAAATGAACCCCACCTTTAAATTTCGATTTAAAGCTTTCGTGACTGCAGGGATTCATCTTCTTGGTTCTTTCGGTAAAGTCACGTAGAATGGAAATAATAAAATAATAAAAATAAAACATTCAAAAATAATTATTATGTAAAATAATAAAAATAAAACATAATAATAAAAATAAAACATAATAAAATACTTATTATGTTTTAATTTTATTATTTCCATTTTACGTGACTTTATCGAAAGAACCAAGAAGATGAACCGGTAAAGTCACGTAGAATGGAAATAATAAAATAATAAAAGTAAAACATTTTAATTATTTTATTATGCTTTATTTTTATTCTTTCCATTATACGTGACTTTACCGAAAGAACCAATAAGATGCACCCCACCTTGTCAGAACTTGGAAGCTAAAGCAGTGTTGAGCCTCGATTGTGTCCTCAGTGGGTGACCATGCTCGCAACAGGTGTTCGTGGCCGCGAGCGGCAGGCGGCAGTGCAGAAGTCATTGCTGTACCTCACTGCCTATACACGTCTCTGCTTATACTGGTAGGAACCTCCTGGTTACACCAGCCCACAGCGGATTATTGTGTCCGTCCGTCCGTCGTGCAGGGAGGGGCTGGGTGGGGAGGATGGGGGAGGGGCTGTGTGTGGAGGGGCTGGGTGGGGAGGGGCTGGGTGGAGAGGGTTGGGGCTTGGTGGGGAGGGGCTGGTCACCCCGTGGTGCCCTTATAAAACTCAACGTTGAACCTATTCACGCCGGCTTGTGCCCGCCCTCACAGTCGGCCATATTTGCGGAATACACCACGCCGCCATTGACCCTGGCCATTGACCGAGCAACCCAATGTTCCTACCAGCTCCCTCCGCAGGAATGTGTTGGCCGTCGCCAAACCGCCTTGACGAGCTTGGTGAAGTATGGTCAAATAACGCCAAAGATCTGCAGTGGATTCACATAACTGCCGTAAATGTGCACGTAAATGGCCAATGTAGTAAGTTGATGATCCTCCCAATAGCTGCAATAAAAACCCCATCACATCACAATACTTGTGGGTGGGCTTTGTCACGTGGATAGATTCTCACTCTGAGCCTTCAACATTTTGTTTTACTTGGCACAGGATGCACTGCTAGTTGCAGAGCTCAATGCAAATGTATGTCTTGTGACATGACACTGATGGCACAATCGGAATATAATTGGGGGGAGGGGGTGCAGGAGTGGAAAAGCAAAACTAAAAAAAGCTTGTGTCGGCTTAAAGAGAGAGAGCTCTACAATTGGCAGGCAAATGCACCGAAGAAAAAGAAAAAAGCGACCAAAATATTTATGCCACACAGTTGTGCAATTCACTTCCGGTGCTCAACTAGGATTTAAAAACACGCAGGCGAAGGTAAACGTGCAGCCCTGCTTTGAATGCCTTGCTCAAGCCACTGCTGGTGGAAGGTCATCCATTGTCGGGGAGCGCTATAAACACATTCCTGCGGAGGGAGCTGGTAGGAACGTTGGGTTGCTCGGTCAATGGCCAGGGTCAACGGCGGCGTGGTGTATTCCGCAAATATGCCCGACTGTGAGGGCGGGCACAAGCCGGCGTGAGTAAGTTAAACGTTGAGTTTTATAAGGGCACCACGGGGTGACCAGCCCCTCCCCACCCAGCCCCACTCCTCCCACCCAGCCCCACCCTCACCACCCTCCCCTCCCCACCCAGCCCCTCCCTGCACGACGGACGGACACAATAATCCCCTGTGGGCTGGTGTAACCAGGTGGTTCCTACCAGTAAGCGCTCTCCCCTAAAATATTATTTTGACCAACTCTTCCACGCCGGTTTGACAATCTTTGAAGAGGTGGAAGTACCCACACTTGGTCATCAGCATCCGCGACTTGCCCACGGACTAACTGTGGTGGTGCACCCGTTTCTTATTTTATTTTTTACAATTTTTATTTCACCAGGTAAGGGCCACTGAGCTATATAGCTAATTTCCCAGAAGCGACCTGGCCACAAATGATAGTTCAACAAAGTGGCTTACCGTGTGGAAAAAACTGAGGACCCGGAGAAAAATCCACGCGACCACGGAGAGAACGCGCAAACTTCCAAATATACAGCGGGCATCAGGGTCGGGATCGAACCCATGACATCCTGTATACAAGGCGAGGTAGTTAACATCTCCTAGCCACCGCTGTGCCCCCTTATTCATGCGGTGGGTCACCGTTTTTGCTGCCGGGTTAACAGAGGCAGTGCGAGGCGCTCATTGCTCTGACCTCAAAGCAGCTGTTGAACGAATAATCCTCGGTGTCGCCTTGGCTGAAATGTTGAGCACCACGTGCGGCAGAAGCATTTAAATTGCGCAGGAAGTGACGGGAAACAGGTGACCGCCAAGGCACTGACGGTTCCGTGTTGTTATCGAGCCGTGCAACGATGACTGGACCCCGAGTCGCAAGCCTCAGCAACGTTGCATCATCGTCACCCCTACTGTGGGATTTCTTTTTTTTTCTGCCGTTGAATGCAAATGAACGAATGTGGCCGTGGGCACATTGCAAATCGTGCGCAGGGAGAAGCGATAATTGGCAGGCGAGTGCGGTTTGTTGTTTTTGGCCATGCACTATTGTTGAACATGAGCAACGTGTTAAATCAAAACAACTTGCGTCATAAACTGCGTCATAAATAACCCCCCATGTACAATAACAATCCATACATCTTCTATGATGATCAGTCCGGAAGCTATATTCTTTTTAAAAATCTAAAGGCAAAATGTGCGGCCCTGAAATTCCTTCCTCGAGCCATTGCTCGCGGAAATGCTCGAGCGGGCCCTGATTGGGTACTTTGGCCTACTCTTCCACGCTGGCTAGATGTCGTGAAAGAGGCGGGAATATCCACGCTCTACCGCACGACACGCAACCTGCCGATCGACTTATTGTGTGGGTGTTACCCATTTTTACTGCTAGATGGACAGCAATTTCAGAAGCTGTCGATCTGTCGTGCTGACCGCCACGAAAACACATCGGAGAACTGCGCAGTTGCGTAACTCGTGAGCGGCGCTGTGCCAGCCGCGGCGACTGCGTTAATCTTCGGAAGAGAATGCGTCGGATCTCACAACAACGCCTTGGGTACGCAGGGCAGAGCGTTATGTCGGTGCCATGACCTCCACCCCACCCCCAAACATTCTAACAAATAGCTTCTAGAGATGAGCCAGCAGCAGTGCGTGACCTCACGACAGTGCTCGAAGGGACGCGCAGTCGGTGGCGCTTTGGTACCAGAAAGGAAAGTGATCCAAGATAAGCGAGCTCATCCGCTTGCGAGAGAGGTGACCAGCTTTGCTCGGGCAGCCATCCCAGCGCGAGTGACTGCGTTACAACTCGGGCCCCCTCTCAAATGTTTTGCCGAGTGCGGCACTGGCCGTGTGAGCCCCGTACCCGAGCGCCGATTCAACGTCGCTATTCAAACGCAGCAGCGGCTCCTGTTTTAAATCATGAGGCCGCACTTGAAGAAGCATTACCGCACTGTGTAGAGCCGGGTTCTTCAGCTGTGACGTCGTGTGCGTGTTACTAAGGCCACGTGCTGCTGCTGGTGGTGTTGCGACGTGCCGCACATTACGTTACGTGGTGTTACGATGTCCGTCCGTGCAAGCGCTGATCGTGTCCCTCCGACAGACGTGACGCTGAGCGCCCTGAACGACACGGACGCGGGGGCGGAGCTCGTGGACATCGAAGGCCTGGGCGACTCTTCGCCCGTCAAGAAGCTCGACTTTGAGCAAGGTGACGACGCCGCTGCCGCACTTGCATTCCTTTGGCCGATTTAGTTTTTAAACGCTTGACAATGGTTTATGCCAGTTGTACTCCTTTTGGCGTCATCTGGTCCAACACCAATGGAGACTAGGCTCTAAAGAAAGCTGTCTCGGGTGTGGACCAATCAACTTCAAGGACAGTGCATATCATTATCATCATCAGAGTTGTTTCTTTTTGTTTGCATTTTGACTTCTTGTGTTGAGGTTATTGCAAACATGATGCCTTGTATAAAGGTGTCAGATTTTGTACCAGTTAAAAGGGTAAAAACCTATTACTATATTTTGCCACTGGTAAAGGAGATCTCATCGTGTAATGGTTTATGCCCTTAGCTTTGTCCGTCTGCTGAATGTCGTCTGTTTCTTCGTCCGTCCGTCCATGATGGCGGGAGGGGGGGGCGTGTGGCGGGCAGCACGATAACTGCAGTTTGCGTGTAGACGCCGTGTAAATCCGCGTTGTGGCGTATTGTTCTGTTTGCCGCCGTCTTGGTTGTGAGCCAGACCGTGTAGCGGTGATGTCACTCGAAGGGAAGGATTTGTCACAGCCACGCCGTAAAACCTCCAGCGATCGGTAATTTATGGATTCTGAGAACAGAAAGTGCAGGGTCACTAACTCGAGGACCACTTCTCGTTACACACCACCGCTGTCTAGTCAAATCAAAATTCTTTACCCGATCCACCATGCGCTCGAATGTCAGTCTTAATTGTTGTTCATAATGCAGGTTTTTTTTGGGTTAGATCGCAGAAATATATAAATGCGTCGTTAAACCCGCCACCACCCGACACAGCCAACTAGTAAGGGTTGTCACGTAAACAGAACGTGGCCAATTCGTCACTAGTACAGCACGCCGGTGTTGGAGAACAGATCCACAACATTTACAATGATAACACCTTTGTCAGTTTTGTTGCCAGATAAAAGGGTAAAAAAAACAATTATAAGTTTTTTTTTACTGGCAAATGAGGTTCCAATGGTGTAAACATTTACAATCTTTACTCGGATGATATTGATCGCAAAAGCCGACGTGTTAATCGTCGTCGTCGTTGTTGTTGTTATTGTTTCCACAGACAACATGTCCCTGGACCCGAACCAGCTCATCATCAATCCAGGAGGGATCCTGCCTCGATAGCCTCTCCCCTTCGTTTGTAAAAAAAAACAAAAAACACAAACCACACGCAAAAACAAAATGTCATTGCAAGTTGTCTTATCAGCATTTTTTTTTTATCTGTAAGAAAACAAAATACCCACCTTTAAACCGAGTTCTCACAGCGCAGAGAGTTTTACGGTTTAAGCCTGGTCAACGATGACCACACGGTCCGTTAAGTATTGGTTTTATCATTTAATTGGGCTTAACTCAGCTCGGTAAGAACTAAACGAAAAGTGTGGTTTGATTGCCATGCGACAAACAACCTTTGCGGCGGGGTGGGGGGGGGGGGAATATAACGAGATGTGCTACCTAAGTGTAAATAAGATGTTTATCAAATACTCATTTTTCGCTGACACATCTGAGCCACTCTAATGAGGGGTGGGGGGGGGGACCCTTGCAGTATGGGTGGATCTCCGCCGGCTCTTTGCCAGGTATGAGTCAAAACTAAACCTTCAAGACGCAGGCCTCCCGAAAAACATCCGAATCTGGCTTTGAGGTCCAAGCTGAGCCGGCTTGCACAGTGTTGCTCGTTGTGTCACATGGCGCGTGACGTCGGTGGCATGGCTCGGGATCTGCAGTGGGGAAAAAAAATACAACAGTCGTGTCACCATGAGCCAAGGCTGGACTGGCTCGGCACGGCCCCGCCGACGTTCTGGGTGCGCAGTCGAAAAAAAAGATGTGGACGTTGACTTAACAAGCAGCGCTGCGATGCCCATCCACACCCAGTGGTGTTTCGCTAGCGAAAAAAACGCGAGGACTGTTTCCGCCGCGAGGTGTATCCGATGGAAATGTCTTCTGCTCGTGACTCGAATCTCGTGGCACTGTTGTAAGCAATGTAATTGTGGACAAAATTGAGGAAGAAAAGCCTTTTTTTTGCTATTGGCACGGTGTTGCAACCGTTTTAAAATTCCAGCGATGACTTCACTCTCCACGCTCGGCATCCAGAGGTTTGCGCGTGGATTTGGACGGCGTTTGAATCTGCGACACGTCACGCCGACTGTTCCACGGAGCTGCTGCTTGTTGCAGGCTGTGTTCGTGGCGCCGACGTGTGTGCACCTTCCACAGCGAGTTGCAGCGGCGATCCCCGGGGGCTCCGTTAGTCACGGCTTCCCGCGCAATGCGTTTCCAAGTTTTCAAATTTTCGCTAAAGATACAAATAGAGTCGTTTTCACACACCACACTTGCCTGATGATTGCTAATCGTCCCCACGGGACAGAAAGCACCGATTTCAAATTAAGATCGCTCTGCGTCACCTTAAACTCGCACAGCTGACACAAGATCTCTGCGTTTGTGCACGAGTTTGTGATTGTTTCCTCTTCCAATGCTGTCCCGTATTAATTGCTCCTTTTATTACCATACAGTCCAGATTATTTAAATAGAAAGTAGGGGTGTGTTTTATCTGTAGAATGCATTCTACGCTTGAATGTGTCTTGTTCGAGTTCAAAATAACCTTCCCGATGACATCGCTCCCAATTTTAAAGCGGCGAGTTCAAAATCATCTTCTGGAAATTCGCCGTAGTAGCCGGTTTCCCCATATTATGACACTTGTTTTTTCCCCCCAGCATCCACGTCTCTATTTAGTAATCTACATCCTTGTTTCCTGGTTTTCTTTGGATGTCATTTATTTGGGGGGAAAAAAATGTGTTTACAATGACCCCAAAAGGTGGCGTGGGGGGTGTGGGGGTTCAACTTACTTTCTGGAGTGACCGATAATCCGGAGAATACAATTACCGCTCTCCGTCTAAGATTGTTACATCCTTGACGGGGAGTATGGAGGCCTCGAAACCTCTCGTAACGATTATTCAACGCGGGTGCAACTTTAGTCTAAAGTTCTGTTGCAATTATGGACTCGTCCTATATTGAAACACGAGGCCAATTCATCAAAGCAGAGGAAAAAAAAATCAGCTTTTGAAAATGTATTTTCACTGACAAGTTACCCTATAAGCTTCCCGAGTGCTTATTAAAGTCTTCGGAAGACACTGGGTATTGTGTAAGTGTTACATAATCCAGCGTATGCACGATTTCTTTCTCTCTAACTTTTCTGTTTTTCAACTCGGCCATCTTGTCCCTTTCCGACCTCTGTGCTTTGTATTTAATGTAAAGTGTTCATCAACGCCATGCTTCCCTGCTTTTGTGACGATTAAATGCAAATCCTCAACCTTTATTTGAATCGGTGCTTGCCGCATCACGCGAGACCTGTTTTCACAGTCGCCAAGACGTGTGTGGCCTGCAACGAACGTAAATCGCATTTTTGAAAGGAGGTCAACTTGGAAGGGCTTGCTGTGGTTGCCCACGAGGACTTGGAGGTTGGGACACCCGGCGTCGCATTGTTGTGTGTGCACACTGCACCGCAGTGCGATGGAACGGACTTCGATAACAAGGTTATGATAAACTTTAAACTCTGTTAATGCCCCTTCTCGTTATGTTGTCTCTCGTCGATGACGTGATCGGAAAACGTACGTGTCTAACCAGTGCGTTTTGATTCTCTTGTATTTATACCAACGATTAAACGTGAATATCTTCACTTTTTTTTAACAGTGGAGACTTGTGTGTGTGTTCTTGTGGGCCTCTGGGTAATGTGTTAAATACAGTCGTGCGTTACGAGGCTATATGACCAAATCATCTGGACCTTGCGCCAGTTTTTGGAAGCAAAGCGGAGTTGAGCCTGAATAGTGCTTGCGTGAACAACCGCCGTTCATATAACCAGGGTGGAAAACCGATTGTGCTCCAGGTACGGGTTCGAGTTAACCGCATAGCCATTAATAGGATTTAGCCAAACTTCCCAATCTAACAGAGCCCTCATAAACAAGAGCCTTCAGACTGGCTTTCACAGATGCGTAAATCTTATTTAATAGTTCGAGACTCAATGGGATACCTTAGTACGGCTCGGTTTGGCTATTTAGTGTTGAATTTTGGACAGTCGAGCTGAATAGTGTAACATGGATCGCATAACACAAAGCAGACTTTCAGTCTGTCTGAACTGCGACCCAGATTCAGTCGTTACAAAATCAACGTGTTGAAATGTTCGTGCGTATGCTCTGTAATTAAAAAGTTTTTTTTTATAAAAAAAAAAGTTTTAATTGACAATCCACTGCTGGATGAAGGCAGGCCCCATCGTGCCGCGTCAGTCTTGTTCACCACACTGGGTCAGTTTGGGGTTGGTGAAACGATTGGCCAATGACGGTGGTGGTGGTGGGGGGGGGGGGGGATTCCGACCCACAGGCAAGTCTTCCCTAGGTAAACAATGAGACTCGGCTCACGCGTAGATGTTTGAGAGGTCACGGGAGGGGCGGACCGCACGTAAACCCTCTTGGCACATCCTGTTCTCGAGAAGAAAACATTTGTTGCTGCTGCGTAGATAATAGTTCCACGGGCACAAATATATATTTTATTTTACAATAAAACGCCACATTCGTCAACAGCACTGCCTTCCAAGAAAGTACACGATGGAACCACAAACTTTTATTTTACCATGTAAGGCCCACTGAGCTACAGAGATATTTTTCAGAAGCAACCCGGCCACAAATGATAGCTCAACGAAGTGGCTTATCATCGCGTGGAGATTAATGCGGCCACGTACTCTTAAACGCATGTTTCTAAATGTGGAGGGAAAAACCGGGAGGAGCCGCCGGAGAAAAATCGACGCGACCACGGGGAGAACATCCAAAATCCAAAAATTAACAGCAGGCGTCAGGATCGACATTGAACGCCCACAACTGCTTGAATACCAGGCGAGGGAGTTACTGACTCGTCAACTCAGAACTGTTTACATCAATATTCGTTCTGCTTTTCCTAAACTAAATCGGTAAAGTCACGTAGGTATAAAATCAAATAAATCACGACGTTTCGGGCGCAACAACAAAGTGTCCGTCATCAGGTGGGAAAGCGTGGCCTGCTGCTGATGCAGACTGTTTTAAAAAGGTTTGAAAATGTTTTATTTTCTACCTACGTGACTTTACCGAAAGAACCAAAGAGTATGGATTCCTGCAGTCACGAAAGCTTCAAACAAGATGAAACTAAATCGTTTAAATGCAGAGCGGCCACTACTGCGTCGTGTGCTGTGACCTTCGTGTTGATTTTCTAAAGAGTAAGCGTCCCGATTCGGTGGGCTCTGCAACGTGAAGATTAATTCCGTGTCGTGGTCACTTCACTTCCACTTAAATGTACTTGCTCAAAGACGAGACAGACACATTTATCTTGATCCAGTTGGAGTGGCTTTTGGAAGTACCCGCTCACATTTCACAATGATACATTCACAGCCGCTTTGTGAATCCACGTACGCAACGGTTGTTGGGCCATTCTTTAACCACGGGTCTTCGGTGCTGTCTGGTCAAAAACAAGGAGCCATAGACGTGGGCGCGTAGAAGTACCGCACAACGGATTTGCTGTGCACCCCGCTCTGTTGACCAGGACGTAGGGCCGCAGCTGCCCTGTGTCGGCCTGTCGTGCATGGCGGTCACCCATCGCAAGCACTATCCAGGCTCGAATCCTGCTTGACTTCCGAGATCCGAGCGAAGTCCGGGTGCGTTCCGAGTGGTTTCGTCGCCGTTGATTTGAGTCCAATAAAGTTGCGCGGACAGACAGACGGGCTACGCTCATTGGGGGAGGCACGCAGCATGGAACCGCGAGGGGAGGGTTGTGGTGGTGGTGGGTGGCTTTTGAGAGGCCTTCAACCAGCTGTGGATTTGCACGTGGCTACCGATGGCTGACCGCGGTACCGGAATGGTTTCGGTGGCGTCAGGAATGTTGTTGTGCTTGGCCTCTGTGTGGAGGAGGAGGAGTGGCCGCTGGTTCTCGGAAGAGGACGAAACTCGCGCACATTCTGTCTCCTCGTGATCCGCTGTTGATGCCGGGATTGCGTAATCGGAGGCTCCTTCCTCGGCACAAACACACGCACGCGTAAGTTCGCAAGTGTCAACGTTTAATTAATGCTGCTGTTTGTGTCTTCATCGTTATGTAGCACTCTTTATCTCTCATCTCACTCTACTCCCCTCCACACACACTCTCCTACCTCTCCCCTCTCATCTCACTGTACTCCCCTCCACGAACTCTCATACCTCTCCACACTCATCTCACTCTACTCCCCTCCACGCACTCTCCTACCTCTACCCTCTCATCTCACTCTACTCCCCTCCACGCACTCTCCTACCTCTCCTACCTCTCATCTCACTCTACTCCCCTCCACGCACTCTCCTACCTCTCCACTCTCATCCCACTCCACTCCCCTCCACGCACTCTCCTACCTCTTCCCTCTCATCTCACTCTACTCCCCTCCACGCACTCTCCTACCTCTCCACTCTCATCTCACTCTACTCCCCTCCACGCACTCTCCTACCTCTCCACTCTCATCTCACTCTACTCCGACGTAATTTGGTGCCAAGCACGTGACCTTCTGAATGATTAGGTTGGTGCATAATCAGCTGAGGCGTAAACTTTGATTCCAACACTTTCATATAAAATGCAGGCAATTAACGTTTTGAGCAATAACTCTGGAACGGAATTAATTGCAAACGCGTTCTTATTTAGAAACATGATCTTGGACGGAGCGGTGGGGCAGTGGTTAGCGCACCCACGCGATCAATGGGGCGAGTGATGTCTGAACCCAGCTCAGCTCAGGGCGCCCGATTTCAACTCGCAGCGAGGTGAAGTATGGCCAAACAAACACCGGCGAACGACCCAGCAGGTGGATTTGACAAAAGGCTGTGATTTACTTCGTGTCGTTTTGTATCATAGAGGCCGTCCATAAATGACGTCACGAACCTAGGGGGGGGGGGGGTTGAGAAATGTGACGTCACATCAAAATGCGCAACTTTAAATCAACATAGACAACACGTTCTACTTAAAAACAAAACTTTTTAATAAATGTTTTCTCCTACAACATCAGAGTGCAGCGCCACATTAAATACGCACTACAATGACAATAGTTTACAGCGATTTGAAGCATGTTTAATATTTTTAGGGGGGGGCAGAGCTTTGTGACTTCATATTTGAGGGGGGGGGGTCAAAAATCGTCCAAAATCGCGTGACGTCATTTATGGACGGCCCCATTGGGGACTACGCCGCCCTTGGTGTGCTTGTGCGCACAATGGACTTGCAATCCAGAGTTGGACCGGTTCGATCTCCCGGCAGGGGCTACTGAAACAGTGGGCACGTTTCTTAAGGCCCCCCACCTCCCCCCCCCCACCGTCATCTCCGAGGCTCTGCATACCCAGCAAGAGACATCAATATGTTGGTGGGTACACGTCGCGTGAGACAAGTTTCAATGGAGGGACGTGTTTCCGGGCCTCACTTGAATCGCTCTCACCTTTCGTCGTTCTTGTCATCAGCATGATGATGATGCTGGTGATAACTAGAAGGGAGCTCGACACGAGGGGGGGTGGGGTGGTGACCAAGCGCCACGCACGGCCGCCTTTGTCTCCCCGGTGGCGATGTTTTTACGCACCACACCAGGTACTCATTTGAGGCTGAGTCGACCTAGGGGAGACCCAGGTCCGGTTCAGATACTCGTCATTGGTGTCGGTGGTCGTGAGCGGCAATTCGAAAGCAAGCGCCAGGTTCGTATGGCAGCGCGCAAAAACCGCGGCACGCTCGCAGACACCAAACAGCTGGCAAAACAAAGGTCCCCGGTGTAGCCTTTGGGGCAAGAGCTGTCAGCGAACACCTGTGAAGCTTGGTACGTCACACGAGGGGCTGGGTGGCCAGCAACTCCGGCCGGACCCGGCTTTGTCTCTCCCCCCCCGTGATGCTCACTACACCAGGTACTCATTTGAGGCTGAGTCAACCTTGGCATAGCCCAGGACCGGTGCAAATAGGTCGCCGCTGAGGTAGCAGGGAATTGAACTCGGAAGGGCACACGGACTACGACTACAGCAACAACAACAACAACTACAACAACACAATCGAAGGCTTAAAAACATGCGCAGAGCCACACGTGAGACGATTTAACACAGACAACACTCCCACACATAAGACAAAGATCTCCCATATAACCTTAACAGACTGATGGGGCAAGTGGTGTTAGCGAGCACCTATGAAGGCCGGAACGGTACACGAGGAGGTGGGTGGCCAGCACCACGCCCGACCGCCGTTGTCTCCCCAGTGGCGATGTTTACGCACCGCACCAGGTATTCATTTGAGGCTGAGTCGACCTAGGGGAGACCCAGCACCGGTTCAGATAATCGTCACCGGTGTTGGCCGTGAGCGGGAATCGAACCCGGGTCGCCGGGTTCGTAGCGCAGCGCGCTAACCGCTACACCACCGCTCCCCACACACACACACACACAAAGACACACACACACAGACACACACACAGACATACACACAGATACAATAACACACACAGACACACGCACAATAACACACACAGACACACACAGACACACACATATACATGCACAATAACACACTCACACAGACACACACAGAGACACGCACAATATCACACACATACAATAACACACACAGACACACACATATACACATGTACACACACACACATACAATAACACACACAGACACACACACAG